TTCTACCTGCAGAAGTACATTCTTTGTTTTGCTGTCTTCTGGGACTGTTTTGTGAAGCACTTGACATGGGTCTGCTTGAAGGGAAGGACTAAAGCAGCAGCAGATGCAGGAACGTTATTTAACAAGTAAGTCCTGTGTGAAGACAAAGAGCTTTTGGCAGTGGTGCAGACTTTAAGAGAACATCTGTGTTCAGGATGGCAGAAGATTGTGTGATACTGGAAAGGAAGCCTCAGAGGAAAATCTTTTTTGTTTATTTCTCCAAGTTGGTTCAGCTTAATTCCTTGGGTATTTAAACCAGTTACCTAATTAAATTAAATCCCTGTTAGTTGCAATTAAGTTAGTTATAAGGATTATGCTCAGAAGGGATCACACCTATTTAATCCTGAAAGCAATTACTTTAATACTGTGGATACAATTTCTGTGTTTAGATTTCACCTTGGATATATTTCTAAATTATGAAAAAAAACAGGTATCTTAAAACCTTGACAACAGAGGATTTTTTGTTTTCTTTTTTAATTTTGTGAAAATTACTTTTCTAAACACAAGAGAACTTCACAGTTGCACCGTGAATGGGAAAAGAAGAGAAAGGGGAGCAAAACATGGAAGCTCATCTGCCTAATTTAATTGAACAATACTAACAAAGAACTAAATATTAATGACAGGTTGTGATCCACAATCCTATTATCAAGGCATGAACTGCCCATATGAATCCTTACGGCACGTATGAAATCTTAGGTTATTTAGCTAAGTCCATATTGGAAGTTCCATGAAGGAGCTTTCTCAAACATTTTACCTACTAAGCATAAAATGGTAAAAATACCACGATAACAAGTGAAAATAATAAATTTGAGAAAAATAGCATGTGTTTAATGGGTGGTGGTTGTAAGGAGACCATGATCATGGTGATCATGGTGCCAGAGAAAGTCCCTACACTGCTTGTACAATGTGGGGATTATCTTCTGACTTCTGGGGCACAGATCCTCCCCCTCCATAATCTAGACGATAACATCCAATTCAGTAGCAGAGTAAACATCCAATTCAGTAGCAAAGCAAAAGCTTTGATGTTTTTATCAGGAGCTCTTTGGAGGAAAAGCCTGCTTGAAATATAGAGATATTACAGCTTAGTTTTTCCTTAGTGTAGTATATTTTGCTCTTTTGCATTGATTTTATAAAGCCTTTGATTTTATAAAGCCTTTAGGATAACGCGCACACACATACAGCAAGATACCCAAAAGCCCTCACATCACAAGATCCTTATTCTGTACTAATGAGTTGAGAAAGTCTCTTCCCTGGAAGATGTGGTGGTGTTCTGCAATCTTCTAAAAGATAGTCTRTGCATATTTAAGGCAAAGACTGTGGGTCTGACTTACCACCCACTGAAGTCAATGCTGACAATTCTACTGCCAACAGAGAGAGACAGGTGATAAACACAAAATTATGTACTGCTATGCTCAAATATTTTTCTCATTCAAAATGTATATAGAATCAATTGCTAGCCTTTGTTAATTTATTTAAAATATTGCCATTCCCTAATAAATATTTTAAAATTAATCAGGGTTGAGGACCATGTAGCAAGTAAAATAGGCATGAATTAATTGGAAGTTCTTCAATGCCAAAAATGTGATTTTATTCATCATTGTAGCATTCCTCTCTTCAGATTGATTATAACTCATCTCTTCAGAATACTCAAAAGCTCTGTAGCTGTCCTTTCCTTTAGATTCTGAAAGACTATTATGAGAAAATTTGTTATGTTGAAAAACTGATAGTGTTAATAGAAGATTAAATGTCTGGGTTAACTTAAGTCGAAATGTTTGCATTGAAATAGCTCAATTTAATACATTAAAATAGAATTTTCTGATATATGTTAAAGTCCAAATGGTGGTGTGTAAAAGTACAGAATGACAGTCCCTCTGAGAAATCTGCTTAAAGGCTGGCTGAGATTGCTATAACCTTATAACTCTTTATTCGCACGGTGAGGTAACAGCATAATTTAGAACTGGGTGGCTTAGTGATATACGTTTCATTTAGGTTCTTTCTACTAGGTGACATTTATTGAAAGCTGACTGTTGAACTGCGGTCCCTGCCTTGTGCTATCTATCTGCCTTGGAGCTGTTGGACTCTGTAATTACATTTTGCTTCATTTCCTGTATAATTTATGTGAAAATCCTTACATGGTACAAAAGTGCAATAAGAACATGACAATGTATAAGATTTAAGATGGCTGTTTAGATTGTAGCTGGAAACTGCCCGTGAGTCAGACGATTTCAAGGTCATTCAATATATAGTAAGCCCAGGCAGTGCAGCACTTTTGAGAAAGCATAAAATAATTTTTTTAGAAAGTCTTACTTTTAATAAGTGTTAATCTTACCATCTTACCATTATTCCTAGATATGGTGATACATCTTGTGGGTAGAGGAGGAAGAAATGACTAATCTTTCTGTGTTAAGTTACCATGGAATTTAGCCATGAGCATGCTGTCTTTGCATGAAGAGTATTAAAAATGGTTTGGTGCCAGGGTGTAATGTTTTCATGTCTCTGAAGCTCTGTTATATTGTTTTATTACACTTGCAGATATTATTTTATTACACTTTCAAAGCTTTCCCCTTGGCAGTTTCTTGATGGTGCCAAACATACCCTTTAGCAAGTGTGTTTTGAAATGCCAAATGCTTTTGGTTTTTCTTCGGTGGTTTTTTTCCCCTTAGAAAACTCTTGTAACAAGCTCATTATGCTGCCAGTTCCTCTCTTCACCAGCCCGGTCTCCACTGCATCCAGAGATAATCAGCTGGGCTTCTTTGTCGTGATATTAGATATCTTCATTTTGCACTCTTGACTAGATGGAGTTTGTGGAGTTGAGTCTAGGTTGAGTCTAGGTTGAATTTATGAAGTCTGTTTTAATACTGTAAACTCTCTGTATGCTCGACTGCCTTGCACTATATTTTAGCTATGTGCTTATGTGTTAAGAAATGTGTCGCCTCTGCTGTGTCCTGCATTCTTAGTGTAAAGAGATAGAAGTCTGCACTAGTTTCCCAATAAGAAAGCTCCCAGGACCCAGAGATGGATTTTGGTGAAGCCTTTAAAGCCTGACCTTAGGATGCCTAAAGGAGTTTGGGCCAGAATAAGGAAACAAGGAGACAAGTTATATGGTGAAAGTAGATATGTTTTCAGTGAATGAAGGAGACAGCTAAAGCTTGAAGGTAACTCGCTGTAAGAGGGACAGCCTATGAGTGAACCTACAGCAGGTGATCTTAAAAACCCTAATGCAACCTTTGTGTGGTAACTTTGGCATAAACCTGTGCTGCTTATGAACAGAAGAGCCCGTCTAGCTTCCTGCTTCCTCGTGGTTCTTTCCCACTGCCTCCTTTGGGTTATGCAAAGGTTATGGTGCTGCATGAACTGAAGCAAAGGTGGATGTGCTGAGGGAAGAGGAGGCAGGGGATCATCAGAATTATTACAGGAGGGTGCTGAGTTCAAGTAGTGTGTAAGCACAGCYGGGTGTGCCCCACTCTTCTGAGCATGGGAGTGATGCCCTGGAGAACAAGTGGAACAAGGTTGTGTTTTTGCTGACAATATTTTGCAGCACTGTGTTTGTGATTCTTCCTTGGGCAAGGAAGGCCGTTGTTTGCCAGTAAAATAACTACTGTGTATGTAAACAGGCTCCTAGGTGACACAGTTATAGAGTTAATAACATCACTTAGGCAGTTGATCTGGATTTCCTCTCCCCCTTTTTTTTTTTTTTTGCGAGCATCTGGTATGTGGAGAGGTTATTTAATAAATGCAGATGAACTAATCTTCTTATTTCAGTGCCAAAGTCCCTCTGAAACAGAGGTACAATTTTACAGTGTAGAACRGGAGTTGATGTTACAAAAAAACAAGGAAAATGGAGCACAGATTTTATGGCAGCTTGCGCCAGCCACCACACCCCAGCTCTCCCCAGCCTTTGCCTTGTTAAACTTTCCCCACATACTGGCAGTCTATACCTTCCTAGTCAGAAGTCTCTTTTCAAGAAGAGGCTGTGCTGCATTGTGAACAAATAATTCCAGGAGTTTTAAAACAGCAGCATGCACTATCATATATTATTTGAATAAGAATTCATAGACGTGGGGGGAAAAAATGCTTTTAGATGCCCAAATACAAATACGTCTGCTGCCAGTGCTACTGCAASGGCACTAGTATCTGCCTCCCTCCCCATCTCTAACCAGAGATCCCTGCAGCCCTTTAGTCCATATTTTTCAGAGCTAGTGATCACAGGTTCATCTTCACAGCGTTCCACTATCTTTGTCTTTGCTCAGCTTTGCACAGCGTATTTCTGTGGATCTAGTCTAAATCTGACTTCTCTAGGACTGAGCTGTGTGATGCAAGGGGAAGATTTTGTGATTTAGGCAAATCTTCATTTTAAAAATTAGTCAGAGAAGCCTGAAAAAAAAGGATTATATTATTCCTTTGTTGCAGTTAATTTCCTTGTCTCTCCTTTTAAGTCACCTAATGTTTCCCTTCGTTCAGGGAAATTTCAGAGCGGAAATAGTTTTTCATATGATTAACCAACACCATGTGGACTGAGAGTTTTTTTCTAAAACATTTCCAAAACATACGCTGGAGACTTAAAGCTTTGTGCTTTATATTTATTCTTTCTTCTCGAAGTTTTAGGACATTGAGAATTTAACTAGTCATCTTGTAATAATCATAATGCAAATTATATCCTCTCAACAGAATTTCATTTACTTAAGTTACTGCAGAAACCTCTACAGTCTTTTTTTTCCCCCAACACAGGATTTCAATTTATTGCAAGGCAGAGAGCATCCTGTATTAAATTAAAGGGAACAATCATTATCATTTGTGGATCTCTCAGATGTTTCCCTGCTATTTATCATTTTATTGTGTTGGATGGTGCTGGAGTTATGTCACTAGGTACATTTCAAGCTATATATTTCACTGTACTTTTCAGTGTAATTTCAGTATATAATAGTATTGTTCTCCTCTTTTGTTTGTCATGGTAGATTTGGGCTTTACAGAAATATGGAATCAAGAAATAAATGTTCAGATCACTGCAAGCTCAAGCAGGATAATTCGATCAGCAGTAGACTGTACTGACTTCTTCATGCACAGTACGTACAAGTACTAGAAACTTAGCTTCCCTTCTCCTAAATGAATCATTTGGCTGATAAATGGTTGTTTTTGCCAAGTGATATTGACCCAACAGTAAAAATGAGATGTCCTCATTTTTTCCTTCTTTTTCTTCTTTATCTAGTCTACAGCCTGACCATTTCTCTGGATAGGGCAAAGAATTTTGAATTCCTTCAGACTGAGATACATAAACAGAAATCAGGCCTTGAACATACTCAGCAACTACTTTATCATTGGGATACTGGGCAAAATTATCATCATCATCATTATATTTATATTCCTTTAAATGAAGGTGGTCATGGTAGTCTTGTGTGTGGAGCCCAGTCGTATTGTTCCACGACATCAGACATTCAGGATAAAACATTTGGGGACCTTAAGCATGGACCGTAGGCGTAAATACTGAACACTTCCTCATCCTGGCCCACAATGAGATAATSTCATGGAGGAATCTGTTACAAAAGCTTCCTAAAAGAAGTCATGCAAATTCAAGGTTTTTATTGTAGTCAAAGATCTAGAAAATCTATTGCTATTGTCAAATTCCCTGAACTTCTTTTCTTCTGAAATATGGAACTTTCTCCCCCTCCTCCTTATTTTTTCTTTCAATGTTCTAAAATTATCTTCTACRTTTTCACTGACTCTTAGGTCTGGCTGGTAATGACTCACGTAAGCCTGGAAAATAATTTGGTTACAGTGCTTTCAAAAAGGTCTCTGGTGAAATGAATATGTCTGTAGAATGCACATCAGGCTGATGGGTAGACAAAGCTGCACAAAACTCAGATTCCCCTGTAGCAGGAGTAGCTCCAGTCCRCCACGCTTGGCAAAGAAGTTTCCTTATGCCACCTACTTTCTTCCCACCCAAAAGGAGCAGGCTGCAAGTTGTGTCTCAACATCAGGGCATCGCTGCAGGCCGAGAGGACTGTTCTTGGACACCCACGTGGKCTTGTCTCTGCAAGTGCCTTTTGCCTCCAACCAGATCAGAGGAGCTTCAGGGTTTTCACAGGAACCTGCATGCTGAAGCACACCTTTAGTTCACTGATTTCTATGGGATTACATGGTTTGGGCACTATTGATAATTAGTCCCTTTAAAGCTACACATTAGTCACCTTTAAGGCTTTTAACTACTTTCTTCTCCCCCTCCCCTCCAATCTGTTTTATGTAGTTGAGAATCTGATACAATTTTCTTTTTACAGAGATCACTGAAGACAAAGTCCTCTCTGAATCTCTATCTTGGAATCGAGATCTTTGAGGTTGTGAAATTGCCAAGGTCTGTKGCCTATTACTATTATAGCCTGTTTAACTAAGTTAACTAACTAAATGGCTTGAAAGGTTTGAGAAGTTTAAAGCTTCATTGGTGTAGACATAGGGGGAGAAGATAACCAACCATTAGCCTGAATTTTCAGCTAACCAGAACTCACCAAGCTGCATTTTTCCCAAGTAAGTACTTGAAAACATGGAATGGTCTTATAGATTAAATATAAGGTATCCTGTTGTGTGCTGACAACTGCCCACTATATGTTTTGCAGTAGAAGTTTGAAGTCCTGTTTGGCGTAATCAAATCTATGACCACTGTAGCCTTTGTTCAGGATAAAACAAACTCCAGTGCATTTCAGGATTCAAAGCACCGTATTGAAGCAGGCAGCTGGGTTCTTGCTGAGTTGAAAAGCAAACCCAAAAGCACTTGGTGCTCTGAGYGACTGCCAGGGATCTTTGAAAAGGTCCTCACAGGGGTCATGGGCAGCAGGAGGAAGCTGCCAGCTTTGGGGATCAGCGTGTGAAGGAACTTTCTGTTTTCTCTTAAAAAGCACTCTGCATCCTCCTGTCGGAGAGCCTTAGAATTATGGCTCTTGGTGCTTTTAGCRTTTGGTAGTAACTCACATGTGTGATTCCAAGGCTACAGTATTAGAACTATTTAAATGTCAAGTTTAAATTCCTTGTTTTAAGTTAAAGCTTTAGGCCTTTTTTTTCTAACAAAAGGGGAGGGAAATTAGTATTGTTGACAACTTGGAAAATATTAACTAATTAAATCTAAATCATTAAAGTTAGCATTCTAATGTTTTTTGGTTGTGTTACAATATTGTGTTTTACCATGTGTGTTGTACTGTATTGTTACCARAATACGAAAGTGCACTGCATTATCTGTGAAATGTAGCAATCCTTAGCAACTACCAGTAATATTAAAACGCAATTTCTCCAGCATGGTTTCCTCAAATGAAAATTAAGGGATTTGGGAGTCTAGGGAAAAGTGGGACTCRGGCATTTCCATTTTCTTGCAGATGTCAGCATTAACTTGAAATCTTAATTTTTACAGACATGYACTGAGAATTTCATAGGGCATGTCTCTACCTTGAATAGTGAATGTTCTGCCAAGCACCTGGGATTGATCATAAAAACCTGACAGCATGTTAGCACAGTTTGTCCTGAGCTAGGGCTAACTCTAGGCTTGTTGGAGGGGTGCAAAGCTACCCTGCCCTGGTAGCCCAGAGTGTTATCTCTGTACAGCACCAGGACACATGGAGCAGATGTTACGTTGCCACTTCTCATTGCTTGAARTAATATGTCTATAGGAAATGTTTTCTACATGTGAGTAAACATAACTGAATTAAGCAGCTAACTCTCAGCCTTTAGTAGGTTGGCCTAAAGAGTGAGGCAGCAATGCTCATGAGCAGAGGCAGCAGAATCTGGCCCCACTGGCCAAGATGAAAAGGCAAATAACTAATTACAGCTGAGGAGATATATTTGAACAGACCTTTGAGCATTTTTAAATTACAAAATTGAAAGCATATCATGCAAGAGGGAAAAAAAAAAGAAGTGGTGATGTGGGTGCTTGCATTGCTCTGAGCAATAAAGCTTTAAGGGGCTATTCTGGCATTCAGAGTAGTTCATCTGATTTTCCAGCTGGAGAGAGGTGATAAGCCTTTTAATGGAGATGTGTTTCTGAGCTGATATCTGTTGTTCTTGGCTGTTTGATCTCATTTGCCATTTGTTCTACCGCACACTCCAACAGTCTCTATTTTACAGACTTCAGTATGAAAAATAACRAAGCACAGCATGGGAAAGTAAAATTATTTGGTCCATCCTTCTTGGGAAGCTGGAAATGTGGAGTTCCATCTCCCCTAGTCTCTAGCTTTGTTAAAGGAGATGTGTACAGTCAATACTCAGGATGGACCTGGGAGCAGTGAATCCAGTTCCTGGAAAACCCCACATGGTAAGCAGAACATGAATAAATTGTGCTTCCACAAAAGGTTTTCACTAGGTTTAGAAGTGTTGCTTATGTGGCAAAAGGAAGAATGGAAAGGGTAGTGCAGAATGAGACTGCCCTACCTCTTGTTTTTTTAATGAATTCAGACTATTTCTTTATCCTTTTGTGGCTCTTCAGCTTTGAGTCCAAGGGACTTGATTCTGGTTTCAGGAGAAACAGCTTTCTGGAGAAGCTGGAAGCCCAGTGGGGCACTTGGGAGCTGGGCTTTTCTATTGACTACAGTKTAGAGATGCAGACACTTCTTTATCTAACCAAGTCCTTCCTTATCACCTAAAACGTGTGGAGTGAATTTAACTGAATGGAATTACTTCCAAACTGTAAAACCTCAATGCACAGATAGTAAATTATGAGGCTTGTGACAACTTAGCCTGTTAATTATTTATCTAAGTACCATCCAATGGACATGACTGCAATCATGGAAGAGTAAAAATTTCYGAGCAAGCAGCAGCAGCCTTTTAGATTAGTTTGGGGCAGAAGGAAAAAGCAGCCTGTGCAGGAATTTCTCTGCAGGAAATTTAGCGGAGAGAACTTACTGTTTGTTCTTGTCAGAGGCTGCAAATAAAAATAACTACCACAGACCACTGATTTATGCAGGTGAAACCAGTGGTGTGTTGTGCCCAGAGCTGTTAAAGAAATTACCAAGTTAGGAACAAGTGAAAGGAACATGTGAAACAGCTACGCAGAAAAGTGAATTGCTTGGTAACCTGCACATGCCTGAATATCAGGTATTTTGCTACCTCCAGAAGACTTAAATCCAGGTATAATGCATGTATCCCATGCTGGGAAGATTGGGCCTCGTCTCGGTGGAGGAACAGCCCTTGGATGCTATCAGGGCCATCCCCTGGGAAAGGCTCTCCAAGGCACATGGAGAAAAGCAATCCCATCCTTCCCGCTGCGCTATTAATGGGTGACAGCAGCTGYCGGACGGCCGGACGCCGCTTCCCGCCTCGCCGGAGCAGCTCCAGAGCAGCGTGTGCCCCGCGCACAGCCTGCTGCCGCTTTAAGGCATCTCTGGGCTGAGGCGAGCGGCTCCACTTCACGCATCCCGCATCCCGCTCATCCTCCCGGCGTGGCGGTTCCGCGGGGGCCGGCAGCCCCATGGCAGCGGTCACGGCGCCCGCGGCAGCGGGGAAGAGCAGCAGGGCGTGCAAGAAGTACCGCACGGTGAAGCGGCACGCGGGCATCTACACCTACCAGGAGCCGCCCCACAGGTAAGGGRCGTCCGCGCTGCCGCTGCTGATGGAGCCCCCGCTCCCCGAGACGGCGTCTGCGCCTTTGCCTTTTCTCTAAACAGCAGGGCAGGGTGAGCAGGAGTGTGGGAAAAACGAGTTGTCTTCTATGTTYAGTTTTATTTCAGTCCTCTCCTCTATTTTCACAAGAGTCGATGCTGCACTACAGATGTTGCCAGCGTAACTCAAATGAGTTCAGGGTAGAGCAGGGTAAAAACAAATGAAAAATTCTCCCTTGTTCTGCTTTTTATGTATCTCCAGGGATTGTCCAGTATACCCGAGGGTCAGAGGCAGGATGGTGGACAGATAGGTTTGAGGTCTGACCGTGTATATTCTTTAAATGCTCTTACAAAGTGTAGCTTATGCTGTGGCTTATTTCTAAGTCATTAAAAGGCTGCTGCTTTTCAGTACAATTGCAGGGAACTTTCCCAATAAACATATGCCCATGCAATTGGAAAATGTCCTAACTGACGCTGTTGTTGCAGTATTTTGCAGCTCTCTGCTTTTTTCGGAGAGGAAACCTAATTGACATGGATTTTTAGGCAGAGTCCCCTGCAAGAGTGAACATTACTGCCACTTTGCACACAATACCTTCTTTCAAATGTGAAATCAGAGCTGTCACCCCAGATGTGGAGAAAACATTAAAATAGATTATTTAATATTCCTCCACAGAAATCTGTTCAACTAAACATGTATCTTTTTGCAAGGCCATGTCATTCTTGATCATTTGGGGGTCCCATACTTCTGTCCTTTCTCCATAGGGAAAGGTGATGAAAGGCCAGGGTTTTCTAAGCATACATTCCTCCCAGTTTATCAAAGAAAAATTTTATCGTTGTAACTATCAAAGTAACAGAACAACAGCCTGTGGCAAATAAATGCATGTTAAGTGCTCTTGCTGGAAATGTTTAGACAATGCTTTGATCCAGAAAAATTATATATAAAGTGTCTTGACAGGCTGATGTACAAGCTGTGTGATTTGAAATGCTGGCAGTGGAAAGATTTGGATTCCTAGTGGGAAACATGGATAATTTATGACTGAACGGCAAGAGTGTGGGGGGGAGAGTTACATCACGGAGAGCAATCATCCCAATTATTCATTGACTGTAAAGCAAGAAGATCTGTAAGTTCCCTGGCTCACCACTGTTACCTCGTTCTAATAGACCGACCAGATCATGTGCAAGTCTGTGGTTTTCTGGGGATCTGCCTCAGAATGATTTGTTTTGTTTTGTTTTTCCTTTCGTGTGGTGTGTGCTGCAGTAACTCAGACAACGATAATGGTGAAGAGAAGGCTGACAGCCACGACCCGGAGCAGATCTTTCAAAACATACAGTACCAGAAGGAGATTATGTCCAACATCCGCTGCAGGCCTTGGCCCATGAGGCAGAAACTGAGGGCACTCAGGTAACCAAGTTCGTATGAAATCTTTCAGAACCAAGGATCAAGGCAGTGTTTCCAGCATCAGAAGTATTTTGGTCTAAACTGGAACAGGATGAGCCCAGAGATGAGTAATAACTGCTAGGAAATCACATTGTTAGTGCGTTCCTACGAGGCCAGGGAGCTGGCAGGAGGCAGGAGCCGCAGGATGGGATGGAGCCATCCTGAACATGTCCCAGCATGAGATCACACTTTTGCTGTTTAAGTAATAAGCAGAGTGGCTGCTGCTCAGAGGCCCCAGAAAAGGCAATGTGCTCTGTTGGTAATGCTCAATGATATGTTTTTGGGCTAAATTGTTTCCCTCAGTCCTAATGGATGAAGGTCTACCGCTTTCAAGGTGACTGTATGTGACCACCATATATCTCTGAAACAAGAGAATAGAAAGTGGTCTGTAATTTTCGGGTATTGCAAATGTAAATACTCCACACTTGTAGGTTTACAAGGTAGTATTTTCACATCTTCATTTAAAAATGYAATTATTATATTGACAATACCAGATTATCACTGTACCAATGCACAGTGTGGGTGCCTGTCTCTCGGGGCAGCCTATCTGAACTGTGCCAGACCTTTCCCTGGTGTCACCTGTAGTCTGCACGTCACACTGCACTGCCGGCTCTTTGGGACTTGCTTTATTTTCTCCTCTTTATCTGGCATCATAATCCTGTAATGAGTTTTTTCTCCTTTTAAAAATGATGATAAAGATCTCAAAATAATTTTGCTTTATTCAGGAGTTGATGGTTAGGCAGTCTATGTCAGTATTTCACAATATGGAGTGGTTTGGCTGCTAGTTACTTGTGTAGAATTAGGAATTCAGAGTGATATAAGCAATGTAAAATAAAGTTTCTCCTTATGCAGACAAGCTAAAGAGATTGTGCTGAAGTATGAAGGAAGACTCACTAGAACAAGAGGGTACCAAGCAGCTGGTGCAGAGGTATATCTGTTATTTTCTTAAATTACATCTCTTTCACATATCAGCGTTCATCTGTAGATTTCATCTACAGAAGTGTTTTTCTTATAAAATCTGGTGTCCAAGTTGAGAAACCTGCAAAGAGCTAAAAAAGCAGTTAAAAGCTTCTTTTTATCTACTGTGATTTTTTTCGTGCAGATACACAGCAGGCAAGATATTCGTGTAATTAATTTAACCAACGTTACTTCTACTGATATGGACAATTCTGTATAAACTACATATTTAATGCACAACCTGCAACTCGATTCCCTTCTCAGCTTTGTGAACCCTGTTTTCRAATGAAAGTAGCAATCCTAGCTATTCTTATGCATTTCACAACAACTATTCTCTTTTTTTAAAAAATTATAATACTTCAATTTCATGCAATAAAATCCCCCATCACCATAAAAATGCATTAACTTTGGCCAAAGAGTTTGATAATGTAGACATTAATTAAAAAGTGGCTTCTCTTTGGTTTCAAGAGATTAGATTTCATGATATAATATTGACATTGCTGCTGACTAAAATAGCTTGGCTTTTTAAAATACCTGGCTGAACGATGAAGTATGCTGTAAAATGAATGCTATAAAATATTATTTTCCTGTAGCTATTTTAAATTAACAAATGAAAAAAGTGGTTTTACATGGACCTTTGTGTTTTTCCTCCCATATGCATATGCCTACTTCACTGTATGAAGATGCAAAAAAAAAAAAAAAAAAAAAGGAAAAGTTAATTGAAAAATTTGCAAAATATAACCACAAGATTTCTGCAAGTGTAAACTGTAATAGACTTGGGAATTATAGTAGTTGAAATTGTTGCTGTTGAATATGATAACTCATTCTTTCTCTTGGGTTTGTGCTTCTCTYAAGTATGTAGTTAGCTGTGTGTGTGTGTTCTTGTGTTGGTCACAGAAATCCATTTTTTTGTATTTACTACATTGGGATTCCTTCACAAGCTATACAGAGGCTGTGATTAGTTCTGGCTTAGACTAAATATAATAAATATTCTACCCAATTCTTCTCAAAGTCCAGTGATCATAAATCCGCCTTTTTACTCTGAGCTCATTTGAATGTTGCCCCTGCTTGAGCAGGGCTGTTCAAGTAGGTCTAGAGGTCCCTTCCAACCTCAGCCATTCTGTGAAYGAATCTRTCTTTTCTTTTGCAAAGGGTCAATGTTGATTTRAGTTGTTTTGTGAATTTTTGCCTAGGTTTGTTGCTTCAGTTGCTCTGCAGGCAGGGTTTGGTGTGGGATAGGATAGGGAGCAGTGTCTGTCTGCTTCTTTTTGTGGGTTCCTCATGATTCTTTGTGTTTAAAATAGGTAGATTGAGGGT